ATGGCGCATGTGTAGGAGGTCACATGCTCATTTGGATCTATGGTTCTTTTGTACTTTGTAATAGCAGGCATACGAAATCTCTTCGGGATTGGCTTCGGTGCCGCGCTTGGAAGAAAAGGCTTTTGAACAAATTTCTTGGAATTCGGGCCTTTCAATATTAGGGACGTATCTGGGATTTAATCGACCCAGGAATTATATGTTTCCACATTTTTGTCGTTTTCCTCAATTTTCTTTTCATCTAGTTCCACATGTTTCGTTAATGCTTCAAGCATTTTTATTACTTCAGGGCTGACACCGGACTCAGCTTCACCCGCCCTTTCGGTGATCTGATCATTTCTTCGAGTGTTTCCTCGGGATGGTTCGGGCTCCACCCTGCTGGGGGTGTGGCTCAAATTTTGCAGCTGCGCCATTGCCGCCTGTTGAACCTGCAACATTTCGAAGATCAATCGTAGACTAACCCCGTCGCCTTCGCCTTTGGGCGCTCCTCGAGCCGTTGGTCGGGCTCCTCCGAGAATGCTATTCTCGAGGTTCGTACGAAGGTTGGCGTTGATGTCCACCTGTCAGCTGGCATCGACTGGGTCTACGGATGGGACCCCATTGGGATGAATAGGGGGCACCTCATTTCTAGGGACAAGATTGTTGTTTTCGCCATGATGGTCAGGCCCATCCTCAACGTTCAAGTGAGCGGACTGAGAATTTTGATATTTTTTTGGCTGACCTGAAATTGAAACCTTAAAGAACAAGTGTATAATAGAGTGTGTTATGGAGATTTGTATCAAACTATCACTATTATCCTTAGCCCCACGGTGAGCGCCAAACTGTTTACTCTTAAAAAGGATAACAATTAAATTTATACGCATTTTTAAGGATATGCGGATAGATTCAATACAAGTAATCAAGAATGTTAGATAAATGAAATAAAGGTGAAATCAATAACCAAACTAGTGGTAACATTGAGTCTGGGATCAGCTTTTAGCTTAACAGTGATTTTACCCTTGACTGGGCCCCCGATTTGAAGCCAAATGTGTGGAAGAACTATGATTAAAATAAGAGATTCTCAATAACTAGAAAACAGGGAAAAAATTTATATTGCTTTGATATACGTTTTACAATGTGTATTGAATGAAAAAACTTCCCTTTTATATATTAGGAGAGTTTCATGGCTAGTACAACTCTAAAAAAGGTAAAAAAAAATCCTCCTTTCTCGTCAATTACTGATATGCTACCGACGTCGAGCGAGATTCGCGCTGTGATATCTGGTTGGGTGCGGATATCAGGTTTTCTATTAGTTGTGTGCAACCATTCGTAGTGTTTTTCGAGGTTTAGGTGCTCGCTCGGGGTCCGGGAAGTGTAAGTCTTGCCAGACACGGTGGTTAGCATTCCATTCGGTCCCTGGTACGAGAAGTCCTTCGCCTTTGATTCTGATCCCAGGCAGTCATGTCTCTGCTTCGTTTGACCCACCAGAAAATCGAGGTATATGTTACCCTCAGTTTACCTATATACAAAGAGTACAAAAATAATGTGGTAGACTATCAGATGTTGAGGTCCACAAAATTTGATTTGGCTATCATCACAACAAAAAAAAAGAAATAAACGTGCATAACGTAATAGCTTAAGTTTTGAACATTAACGGTGTCAAAAATATTTACTCCTTATGATCAATTTAAACGATAATTGTAGTCCATTCATTAAGTGGAATAGTACTTATTGGTGAATATCCGGAATAAATATAAATAACCTAATATAATATGTCATATTAGACTAAAAAAATTGGTGGATGAATGCTTTTGTGTTCATGCAGTTTGAGAGAATATCGTAAAAGAAATTTATTATGTTGTCGATATATATAACTTAATTCCTATATAAAAGGATAAAATTAAAATTGAAGACTGTGCAAATGTACTAATTAATCAGTAAAGGAAGATACCATTAATTCATGAATTTATTGATATAAAATAACCTCAATCAAAATAACAAAAAAAAATATTATAACACTTTTCTTTATACTAATTATTAATAAAATTTATAATAACAACAACAAACAACAATAGTAATAATAATAATAAGATGAAGTAGAAGAAGAATAAGGAGGAGGAGGAGGAGGAGGAGAAGTTAAATAAATTTCGGCCTTCAAATTTTGGGGCCTAAGGCGACGGCTCCACTGCCCAAGCCTTTAGAGCCGCCCCCTGTTTTACAGAAGCATTTACAACAAGAACAACAATAAGAACAACAACAACAACAACAACAACAACAAAAATAACAACAACAACAACAACAAGAGACACAAAAACAACAACAACAACAACAACAACAACAACAACAACAACAAGATGAAGAAGAAGAAGAAGAAGAAAGAGGAGGAGGAGGAGGAGGAGGAGGAGGAGGAGGAGGAGGAAGAGAAGGTAAATAAATTTGGGCCTTCAAATTTTGGGGCCTAAGGCGACGGCCTCACTGCCCAAGCCTTTAGAGCCACCCCTGTTTTACAGAAGCATTTACATGTGAGGATCGTTACCTATTAGATAAATTATCAAATTGCAATTGGATTAATATATATTTGCTCCATCTCAAATTATCTGTCGTGAATTCTAAAAATAGTTATCACAAATTATTTGTCATTTTAAAAGTTCAAGACTAAATTAATTTTTTTTTTTTTACCCGTAATATTAATTGTTCTTGAAGACTACAAATACCTCAATTATAAGTAAATGTTAAATTAAGAGATATTATATCTTAAAACATGAACAAGGATAAAACAATTAAAAACTTCTTCTATTAAGTAATTTGAGACGAAGAGGGTATATTTATACATATTTTTGTGTGTCTATCATTCCTTGGCACATTTGGATAAACAGTAACAATAACATTTTCGACTCCACTCTGCTAATAATACTAGTGATAGGATAATTGAACAAGCTACTGAATATATATATTTTAAAGGGAATCTTATATAAATGTCCCAAATAAGTCCCAACTTACAAACCTCTACTCATTAATCATAGACTTACCAAAACTAGCCAAGCACATATAAAAATTGAAAATTCAAATAAATAAGGTTCTTTCTCTCCAAGAATCACACCCAAAGACCTCCTTCCATATTTTTAAGCGTGATCAACAACATTAGATGCAAGACGGCAAGGAAAATTCATGGATAAAGTAGCAAATAAGATGATGAAACACAAAAAAAAATATATATATATATATATATATATATATATATATATATATATATATATATATATATATACAAGATTCCAAAAATCTAAGAAAAAAAGAATATTTTTCAATGGGTATGATTGAAATTCATTGAAAGCATATAGATGAGTCAATATACAAAATTTGAGGAAGATTGGAGGTGATTTGGATTGATTTGGTATCAAAATTCGTAATTTAAATCGAGTTCAAAAAATTCTTCTGCGACACATATATCACCCATATACCCAATCTATTCTAATAACACCCACTCAAAAGAAAGTAAAAATTTGACCTTTTTTGGGCTACAATAGCTAATTGTTTAATATTAATAATATTTGTCTAATATTATTAATAAAATATGAATTAACCAATTTTTGTAATAAGCTACTTAAAAATAGACATAGCTGATAATTTCCCTATATATTTCTGCCTCGCGAACAACAACCAAAAGGAGTCCATTAAACATACTATTGAACTCATATGGACTGACTCCTCCATTTATTAGAAATTTGTCCTAATTTTCTTACCTTTTATTCTTTTACTTGAAGGAATAGTAGAATATTAATCACAATTATTTTACTTTCATATAAGAAATTGTAGATCTCTTTCATATTTAACAGATCCCTTTTTAGGAGGAAAAGGTTGTAACTTACATATATTGAGGATCCCCTTCAAATAACAACAAAATAGCATCCACAATGTAGTCCTTAAGAGAGTTTTTTTTTAACGGGAAATATTTCTCTCAATAGTTTTTTTTTCTTTTTATATTAGTTTCTCTCATATATATGTTGGTCAATTGACCAAAACATACTATAATCTTATGCCTCTTTTAGTATACTTTTTTGCGTCGTCTGATTTATCATTACCAATGTTTTTTTGTTAGCTTCCGCATGATGCTTTGTTACTTTCGATCCAATAACATTCTCCTTAACTTTTAAACTGAACATTGATGGCTCTCATAATCAATTATCCAACACTGGAGCCGGTTGAATTATACGAGACTCAGATGGCAGATGAAAAGAAGGTTTCTCAAGTACCATTACTACAAATTACTACAAACTGAGCTCTTCATGGAGAACCAATTGCTTTATTTAAAGATCTCGTGCGTGCCTACACTAAAAGTTTGTTTTCCCTCATTGTAGAAACTGATTCAAACTGACTGATCAAATTAACTCAAACTTACAAACTGCACTATTTTTACATATGCTGAATGATTGCAGGTTTCTACTGGATGCGATAAATTGCCCGCCCATGCAACACGTTACCGGAAGGCGAATAAGGTCGCACATCCCCTGGATCTTTTTAGAATATTAAGATCTATAACGTAAGATCTTATTTGGGATCTTCCACCTTTACATGCTTTGTTTATACTTTCCAAACTGATTTAGCTCAAATAGACGAGGTCTTATTTGTAATAATCCTGCTTAAACTTCTCCTTCCTGCTTTCAATAAAATGGTATCTTTGTTCAGCAAAAGAAAAAGGAAAAAAGTGGGGGTGTTTGGCTTCGGAAAATACATATAATGTCAGACAGTTTCGTGCAAATTTTTATCGTTGAGCAAAAAGAGAAAAACTAAAAAAATGTGCAATTCTTTTGGCGCGGTTTTGGTCCTCGAAGACCTTAAACACCTTAGCCCAAATCTGTTGGGCCTCTCTCAAGCTCAATTAGTGTAAAAATTGTGTGGGGTAGCCACTTTTAAAGTGGTATTTATTTTTTATTCAGAATTTTCAATGCTTAGCAATAGTAGCCACTAGTCTATTAAAATTAATATGAAAAGACTGTGTTACCTAAACAGGAATGGCAGTTTTCTTCATGCTGCTTGACGCTGATTACGTGCCTTCTCCTTCTCTTTGACTTCACTTCCTTGATTAGTATCATACTCTATTTTATCAATAAAAAAATAGATGAATTGACATTAGAAGACATATTAAGAGAAAGAAGATAAATATAGAACATAAACCATTACCAGGGGCTTTTCCATGGATTATCTTTTCTTCATCCTCTTTGTTTCCTCCATAGATGCCTCCAAAACCTTCTTCATCCGATCTCGTTGCATATCCATCTCCAAAGCTGCTCGACATTGTGTCCCTTCAATCCAATAAATACGAATTACACTCTTGGTAATGTCCAAACACTCAAAAGTTAAGGACACTTGGTCCTGAACTTCGAGTTCCAAGTTCAAAAGTGAAGGACACATGATCCTGAACTTAGAATTAAAAGTTCAAAAGTTAAGGACACTTGGTCCTGAACTTCAAGTTCCAAATTCAAAAGTTAAGGACACTTGGTCCTGAACTTAGAATTACAAGTTCAAAAGTTAAGGACACTTGGTCCTGAACTTAGACTAACAAGCTCAAAAGTTAAGGACAATAGGTCCTGAACTTACACTTACAAGTTCAAAAGTTAAGGACAATAGGTCCTGAAATACTGAACTTAGACTAACAAGCTCAAAAGTTAAGGACAATAGGTCCTGAACTTAGGCTAAGAAGCCAAAAATTTAAGGACAATAGGTCCTGAACTTACAGTTACAAGTTCAAAAGTTAAGGACAATAGGTCCTGAAGTCCTGAACTTAGACTAACAAGCTCAAAAGTTAAAGGACAATAGGTCCTGAACTTAGGCTAAGAAGCCCAAAAGTTAAGGACAATAGGTCCTGAACTTAGACTAACAAGCTCAAAAGTTAAGGACACTTGGTCCTGAACTTACATTTACAAGTTCAAAAGTTAAGGACATGTAGTCCTGAAGTTAAGTTCAAAAGTAAGGACATGTAGTCCTGAAGTCCTGAAGTCCTGAACTTAGAGTTCCAAGTTCAAAAGTTAAGGACATGTAGTCCTGAAGTTCTGAAGTTAAGTTCAAAAGTTAAGGACATGAGGAAGGGTATTTTCGTCCGGGCAGTTAAAGTTTATTAAAGCAGTGGCTAAAGACTAAAAACATTTTAAACACTGACTTAAAAGTAAATACATGTGTTATTAGTGGCTAACCGTGCACTTCCCCTCAATTACTTGGAAAAATACTGTTACTCTTTTATCACAGAAGGCATACATATATATCCTACAATTATATTCCAGAAAATTAATTGTAGCAAGAAAAATTATTCTTCTTCTTCTTCTTGAGAAGCAAGATACATAAAGTCGCTCACATATTATTACCGACATTCATATATACTGCTGAAATTGAAAACAAAGGGGACAACCCAATGTCCACAAGCAGGGGCGGATTTAGGGGCCGAAAAATTATACTGTATATATAAGGCAAAATCTGTTTTTTACCTCTATATATTAAGTTTTGAACACCCTTAACACAATCCAAAAGTGTAGTTTAGTGGTTAGGGGGTTCAAAATTTACATAAGGTCATGGGTTCAATTCCGACTAGCTACAAAAAGATTTTTTGAACCCCCTTCGTGCAAAAGTGTATGTTGATGAACTGTTCTTGGAAAACTGGATTTTACCTTCAATCTCCCATATATTCTGTTATCTACATAAAAGTCAGTGAATGATAATTAGTGATGACTATTTTGATTACCAAATGACCGATGACACTTTAGTACATACATACATACTGTAATGATGAAACAAAGATCTCTTTCTTTCGTGCTATAATAACCCATCGGCAGCATATTAAAGTTTTATAATTTTAATATGTTTGAAGCAATCAGCTTGTTATAACATCCTTGTCACATGACGTTCTATTCTTAAACGATGGAAGAAACTACAGAAACAAACGACACAGAGTTCTGCTACTGCATTTATTCTTAAAGTCTAATTAAATGAGATTACATAGGCAATTGGTACTAGAGGTCTCGGGTATTCGAGCCAGAGAACCTTTTCGTAGTAAGTAACCAGTTTACTTCCTTATAGGATCTACACAACGCGAATCCGGACAAGTCAAATCAGTACTCTACACTTATACAAGTGTAAAGCCCCATTTTGTAGCAAATTCGACAAGAGCATCCATCTCATCTTCAAATATTAAACCATCATGGTTAATATCAGCATGACTCATTGCTTGATAGGCTCTCAAACCACAAAACCATATCCCCATGTCTTTGAACGCAACTTTCAGTTCTTGCCTGTTCAATTTCCCATCGCCGTTCTTGTCATACCTCTTCACGAGACATTTTAGCTCCTCTTCCGATAATGGTTTTTCAAGGCTTTTGGTCTTGAATGACATGTTTGATTGATTACAAATCTAGCTAAGGTAGGTTTGTGTGAGATGGTTATGTGTTAAAGTTGCTTCCAGGAACCACATGTAAGGGGATTCTTATAGGGCTAATAAATGGTGAATAATGTTCGTAAACAGTGGACTAGGTTGTTTTCAGGAATTGGATTCTTCTAAAATAGTAAAGGGTTTTCTCTTTATATTTAGAATCTAGTTCTTCTTGTCTTGGGCAACTTTTAACTTACCCCTTCAGTTGAATTTATGCATGATAGTGTGCATAATGTAGTTTAATGGTAATTATGAAAGAAAATATTAGTAAATTCTTAAAAACAATTTGATAATCGCAATTAAGAGTGTGGCCTAGTGGTCAATAAAGTATGTTGAGAACTATAAGGTCTCACATTCAAATATCTGAGTGAAAGCAAAAACGCTATGTACAAGCCTTAATGAACAACAGTAAATCATCGTGAATTCTTAAAGTCAATGGAAGTCGTCCACCACTTAAGAAACCTAAGAAAAAGAGTGATTTTATAAATTGAGATAAAGAAGGTATAAGAGTCTTATGATTTTTTTTTGGGGGGTTTTTTGTGCTACGATTGTTTAACCAAAAATAGAATTTCGGTCAAAGCTTTATTTTTAGAAGAACTCGGGTTACTGATAATCGAAAATGAACAGAAGAAATTGATTTTGATAACAATAAGATAGATAGCGGAAAACAAAGTAAATCAGTATATTCAGTTGATATTTTGTGTCTTTACAAATGACCAGTCTTCTCCTTTCTATAGCTATCTCTAAGATACACGTTTTGCCTTTGTCATAATAAGGCTATTATAGACAATTAAAGGCATTAAATGCTACGTTACATAATCATTGTAATTTAATACAGATTCTCTAACATTTTTAATATTTAATGCTTATTAAATACTGTATATGTACTCTCTTGTGCTCTCAGATTCATTCTCCTTGATTTTTGGATTTAAATAGGTACGAGTGTTGAGTCTTTTGAATAATTGCTCGTGCCTCTACTTGTGCCTCTGCTCGTATCTGTTGCAACTCGTGCCTCTTTGCTAATCATCACTCTTTGACCAGCCTTCATGTCATGACACGTCATCTTTCAATCACTTCAATATGTAAACTCAATTTTTTCCAATACAGATAGTCCACCCACTTGCCATTTATTCATCAATTGAATATTTGAGAAGTGGATTTTATTAAAGCGAGAATATTTTTCGCCATTAATGCTATGATAGAATCAACGCTTCAATTGCCACTTCCATTTAATGCTTGTTACACGTGGCATCTTTTTGTTGGTTCTGCGACTTTGATGATAGGCTATAATTGCATATTGTAGTCGCTTATTACACTCGAATTTACTGCACTTTAATTGAGTTTGCGCTTTAATCGCTAGTATTTTGCACTAATTGTGTGTTTTATGCCTTGCAGGTGTGATTCCGAGCTATATAGATGTTATGGAATGAATTTAAGTGATTTGAAGCTTTGAAGTCTGAGTAAAAGCTCAAGGAATTAAGCCGGGATCGTGTTCGGAGGTCAAATTTGATAATTAAGTACTAACGAAGACTTGAGGAGGCATATTGCGCACTGTCTAGTAAAATAGACATAACTTTTTGCTCAGAACACCATTTGGGCTCCACAATATATGGTTGGAAAATAAACTCAAAGGGCTACAACTTTCATGTTTTACGTTTTTCCAAATTCCAAACGGAACAGGGTGAAACATCGCGGTTTTGCCGCGACGCGGCAGAACCGCGGTAGAAGATGGTCGCGGACAACTAAAGAATCAGAGGGCATGTTTGGCCGCGGTTCTACCGCGACCGCAGCAAAACCGCGGCAGGAAGCGAAAATTTCAGGGACTAAAGTGCAAAACATGGGATTTTAAGTCCTAAACCCTATATTAAACAAAGGAGGCCGGCCAAGAACAAGAGGGGGACATATTTTGGACACAAATTAGACCTAAGGAGGCGGAGAGACACTACTTTAGGGTTAGACAACACCCTTGGAGGCAAGAACACATTGGGAGCAAGGCGGAGAATTCTTCTACGAGTTTTTTCCTTCCTCTTCCTATTTTTCATTGTTGGTTATGACTTTTAGTATTGTAGTTTTACATACTATTATGAATAGATAATTTGTTATCTAGAGTTTGATAGAACCTTTTGTAGGATAAATTCTTGTTATGTTTTTATATAATTGAGCCATAGCCTTTTCTCTATTTTTTCAACTACGTTTATATTGTGGTTGATTGAAGAGCTCTCAATTAGCTGTGCCTATTTAGTATGCATAACTCGGGAGAGAGTGCATATTTAGGTAATTGTTGAACAACACCATTACCAGAGTATATGAGGGATTAATAACCGAGGGTTTAAAGGCGGGATTAGGGATAACGAAGCCTTGGGTGCGATCTGAAGTGAGCTGTATTAAAATCCAGCTAGCGTAGCTTGGGAGAGTGCGTCTAGTAAATTGTCGTAATTACTCGGGAGATATTTACGGTAACAAGAGTGCTCATGATCGGTAGAGAATACTTAGGCGAAATTATAGAAGACATAGCGGGAAGGATTCCGACAATTGGGAAAATCATAACTCTAGACCTCCTTAATCTTTTCTCTAACCCTCAGTATCGTTAGTTGTTAATTTACTATTTTAATTTGTTAGTTAAGTAGTTAAACACAAGAATCTTAATATCTATAAGTTAGAAATTATTCAAGCTTGTCTTTTTGGTGATAGTGAACAGCTGTAGCTAAACCTTAGTTCTCTGTGGGATTCGACTCCGGACTTGTAAACCGGATTATATTTGCAACGACCGCATTGTCCTTTTTATAAGGCATAGTTGGGCGTGATCAGACTTTGCAGCGCTTTTTAAGGCTCTTTTACGGCTTCAACAATTACGAAGCGATAGTTCTCATTATGACCTTTCCATCATTTCACCTT